GGTCGTAGTAGTCGTCGTAGTCATTTGCGAATGCACGAATGTAGATAGGTTTGGTATGTGGATGTAACGTAGTGACTCACACCACGTAGCCGAAGCACTATGCCCAACATGCAATGAGTGCTTACTAGAGTCTTGTGAGTTCTTCTGCAACAGATCATTGTTTGGACCCTGGATTTCGCAGCGTGAACTCAGCTTCCTAAGATCTGCGTCGGCACTTCCACACAAGTCAGTGTAGGTCCGTTTTAAGGTTGGGGGTTTAGAGTTTAGAGCCAGATTTGGTTGGTCGGGTAAGAGTAGGATTTGCGGCCTTCGATTCGATCGCAAAAGGCTTGTAGGTTGAGCTTGCTACTAGTCACAGCAAGACATTGAGTTTGTCCCCTCCGATCCCCGTCCATGAAACCCTTAAATCGTGAACCCTGATGATGGCTTAGGATCTACGGTTGTGGGGGTGAATGCAAAACCCTCCAGAGTCCAAGATAGTTCAGGTATATACACAATACCCTGTTTGGGGTCTAAGGGCTACGGTCCACAAACCATACCTAACTTCGGCTATTTGGAGTGTTGTAGGGAACGAGAAAGCCGACCATCAACCCGAAACCCTACATAAACCCGTAAACCCGAAACCCTGCATTCTATATCCGGAAGCCCGAAGCCCTAAACCCTATCCCTTAAAGTTTTAAAGGAACCCAATAGATCCTTTATTCTATATGGGAGTTTCCGAAAATTGGGGGTACCTTATTTGGGTCCTTATAATAAGGATCCTAAATAGTACTATATTAGGGTCCACTATTTTCGGAAACTGCCATATCCGGAAAACAAGGTATGTGGAGGCCGCGGAGGAAGCGGAGACGCCCGTGCCGGTCTATGCTCTGGACCTCGCAGGCAAGTGTGGGGTTTAGGAGGGTTTTGGCTTTTAGGGTTTAGGGTTTAGGGTTTTAGCTTTTAGGGTTTGGGGTAGGATTTAGGGTTGAGGGTAGGATCAAGGGTTTAGAGTAGGGTTTAGTGTCGGGTTTTGGGCTTTAGGGTAGGAGTTAGGGTTTAGGGGTTTGGGGGTTTGGGTTCATGAGTTGCTTTGTCGTGGTTGTGTAATCTTTGAAATTTTCATGGGCACCTATGAACCCAAGAAGGACGAGAACAAGATGCTACCAAGTATAGGCACCATAAAACTTGCACAACGTTTATAAGGCAAAGTATCCTATGTACGTTGAGAACGCCAAATCATCGTTTCAAGCACGGTGTAGGGTTTGGGTTCAGGGTTTTGGGTTACGGGTTTAGGGTTGAAAGTTTAGGGTTCAGCATGTAGGGCTTAAGTATGTAGGGGTTTAGGGCTAAGGGCGCTGCTTCTCGCTTCACCACTGCCACTACGACTACCACTATGACTACCACTACCACTACCACTATGACTTCCACTTCCACTACCATTATCACTATGAACTAACCCGACGACGACGACTACGTCTTCTTTTTGTTCGGCATGCAGCGCTCAGCACTGTGGCTTGGCAGTGCCGGCATCCCGGCACTTGGCGCGATCCATTGTTCTGTGGATCCCTGGTTTGGGATTCCCATCCCGAGCCCCCCCCACTAGAAAGTCCCACTACTACTACTTACTACTACTACTACTACTACTGCTACTACTACTACTACTACTACACCTACTATTACTACTACTACTACTACTACTACTACTACTACTACTACTACTACTACTACTACTACTACTACTACTACTACTACTACTACTACTACTACTACTACTACTACGACTACTACTACTACTACTACTACTACTACTACTACTACTACTACTACTACTACTACTACTACTACTACTACTACTACTACTACTACTACTACTACTACTACTACTACTACTACTACTACTACTACTACTACTACTACTACTACTACTACTACTACTACTACTACTACTACTACTACTACTACTACTACTACTACTACTACTACTACTACTACTACTACTACTACTACCTACTACTGCTACTATTGCTACTGCTGCTACTACTGCTACTGCTACTGCTACTACTACGACGACGACTACTACTACTACTACTGCTACTACTGCTTCCATCATGATTATTATTACTACTACTACTACTACCACCACCACCACCACCACCACCACCACGACTACTACTACTACTACTACTACTACTACTACTACTACTACTACCACTACCACTACGACTACTACTACCATCAGGCAGTACCAACGGCAACAGCTCTAGGAAGCAGCACCAGCAACAGCAGCAACAAGATCAACACCTTCGTCACCATCACCAACGCCACCACTCAGCAACCACAACTACAAGAGAGACAGAAGAGCGACGCAGGCCGCCAAAGAACCTATATCCAGAAGATGGCGAAGGAGACCGGCTTGATTGGCTACGGCTACGGTGCATCGGCTTTCCCATGGTCTGGGTTTTTAGGACTCAGGGTTTAGGATTTCGGGGTCAGGGTTTTAGGATTTCGTGTTTAGGGCGTCTTGGTTTAGAGTTTAAGGCCTCGGGGCTTTAGATTTAGGGTTTTCGGAGTTGTGGGTCGGCCCACTGGGGGTCTCAGGGCTTTAATTCAAGCTCATGTTTTTCTTGTGGCAAAGATTTAGAGCCTTAGGGTTTCAGTGTTTGAGAGGCTAAGGCTTCGGATTTGTTACCAGGGTTTCAGAGCTTGTGGCTTGTGGGCTGATTCTCCTAGATTTCTGGGACCGAGTTCCTGGATTCAGGGCTTGGGGTTCCCGGAGACCCTTATCCCAGATCCGACTTCATAGAGGTTGCATCGCATGGTGCCGCTTACCACTGAATGACAGTGCGACCACACGCCCTCTTCCAGCTCATCTAAAGGTCGAACCGTATACCTATAGGTCTTACACACTACCTAGAGTAAACAAGGTAGCTCTAAACACGCAAATGTAACCATTTTGGGGGTTCATACCCTGTTTGCCAAAGTAATTACATTCACTATTCCGCGTGAACCCTAAATGCGATGTGAGAGAGCTCAGGGTGTAGGATCTGGCAGCATGTAGAACAGTAGCAAACTGCATACCTTCGCCTGTCATGTCATGCTTTTGCTGGCGTAGTCCCCGCAAATTTCACATTAGTGGTCTGAGACCATGAAACTCTAAACCCACCAACCCAAAACCCTAAGCCCGGAACGAGCAAGCTGCAGTGTATGTACATGACTCACCCTAAAAACTAATCCTAAAAGCCCTACTATGACTAACCCTCAAAACCAAGCCTAAAGACCTAAACCTTAAACCCTATAGAAACCGAAACCCCGAAAACCTAAACCATAAACCCTAAAGCCTGACACCCGAAAGTTCCCAGCGGACCAGCTGGGCGCAAACAGCAACCAGAAGCAGCACATAAACCGAACTGAGAGACTGAATCCCTTCGAGGTTTGCTACTTTAGGGCCTCAATAGAAGTCCTTTAGTACTTCTGGTTCCCTTTAGAGGGCTACTATATAAGGGCTATTATAAGGGTTTAGTGTAGGGGCCTGAACGATTACCCATACTATTTTGGGGGCTCCTTATAACTATGGTATAATGGGCCCCAAAACCTTATTCTAATTAATAAGGCCCCTATACTAGAGCAGCCGGGGTACCTGAAAAGAAGGCATGTATATACCAATCGGGATACATATAAAAATGGTGTATATACACATACATGTATACAGGTAAGTAAGTAAAAGTAACTAGGTCATATTGCATAGATAGCTAGATAGCCATATAGAGATGTATAGATAGATAGGTATAGACCTTAGACCCACCCCTCCTGCCAAGATGTGGAGTACAACTGGGGTGGATTGAACTCCTCCCGGGAGACTTTCATGAGGCATCACTGGAAGCCTCATGGCCATCGTTTTTTTTTTTTTCTTTTTCAGTGTCTTCCTTTATCCCTTAACTCCTACGGCTTAGAGCGAAACTACTACTCGGTTTCCAGTGCGGATTTTACTGCGTGCCCGACAAAGGCCCACCAGACAGGGCGGGGAAGATTAAAAAAGGGTGTCCGTAGACTGCAGAATCCCGCTAGAGAGCATCATCGCAATGATTTTGCCACTTCCCTTCAACGCTCGAAAGCTACCAGACAACACTAGTACATATGCGGAACGATTGCGGTGGCGGCGCTAACCCTAAACCGTTCCCTCGAATGGCCTCATAATACCCTTCTATTGGCTTATTCTATTTGCTACCCTCAGAATTGGACCTAATGGGCGTAATTGATAATTTGAGTTCAACTAGACGTTTTTCAGGTGTGTTGGAGGCTCTGGGTTCCCGGCCGAAACCCCAACTCAGCTGTGAAGAAAACAGAATGGGATCCCAAACGCTATTGCTTCCAGAGTTAATTATGTCAAATTAATCCTACAATTACTGGGCCAAAACCCAAAATTCTGTGGGGTGAAGCCTAGAGCCGCAACCCTACAAGTGTACTGCACTTGAACGGTTTAGGGCGTTTTGCTCTTAGGGTTCCTTTTTGCAGTTAAAGCCTAGGACCCAGAGTAGGCCCTTATTCCCTTTTTGTAGGGTTCAGGTTCCCTTGTAAGCCCCTTTAAAGCAAAAAAGGGCACCCTTTTTATTCCTAGGTTACTTTTGGGTCTAGAAGCAGAGCCCTACACTTTTTCACCCTAAACCCTAAACCCTAAACCTACAGTATAGCCCAAGCAGGCGTCTCCCGTGTATTTCCTTTTTTAAGTTGACCGATGTTGGATGACAGGAGCCAGCCAAATAACTACCTATGCTATTTTGGGGGTTCCTTATTGCAATTATGGTATAATGGGCCCCCCAAAAAAACTTGTGAGCCAAAGAAAGGAACTGCAATGGAGACTACAAGTATTGCTTAATACCCTCAACCCCAAGCCCTAAACTGCTGAACCCTTAGCCCCGAAACCCCTAAACCCTAAACCCTATACAACCTGAAAGCTCTGAGCCCCAAACCGAAGCTACCAAGTCTAGACTACTTATTGGCTGTAAACTCAACTTTTCAACTTTTTGGGTTCTTATAAGGTAGTCGATGCGGAAAGTTTCAGCTTGTTTTTTTCTTTTTCTTGTCGGGCAAGCGAGACTATGAGAGCACCAAAGCCCCTTTCTGATCAGTACTTGGAGCGTCTGGGGACTTAGTAAGTAGGTAGTAAGCAGACTTATAAGTACCCTAAAAGGGGCCCTAATTGGGGTTATGGTACTTATAAGTCCCTAAAATAACCAGTCACTAAGTTCCCCCTAAACCCTAAATCCTATACCCTTATAGAATCCCTATAGACCAAGTTAAAGGACCCCTTTAAAGGAACCCCTTATGTTACTAAGTCCTCCGACCCTCGAAGTAAGGCTCCTGCATTGCGCCCAGAAGGAGATCCCCCGCCTAGGGAACGACAAAAAGGGGGGTTTCCGAAATTTCGGGGTACCTTATTTTGGGGGTCCCTGTAACAAGGATCCTACTGTTTAGGGCATTATATCAGGGTCCGGGTCCCCCAGGGCCTAGTTTGGGAAACTCCCAAATCCTAAACCTGAAGCCCAAAACCATCAAGCCCCTAAACACTTAACCTTCCAAGCACTAGTTAAAGGCACCCAAACCGTAAACCCTCGACACTAATCCCCAACGATTTGCCCCAAACCCTAAACCCCAAAACTTTTCATTTGAGGCTCTTAGAGGGTGCAGCGGCTACTGGATCCCATCCGGCGGTCCCGATGACGACGGAGGTGCTACAGGGTTCAGGGTTTAGGTTCGGCGTTATACGGACTACATCAGCTGGACTTGCAGCATTCTCTTTTTAAGCTGGTGTAAATCCGCGTACATGTAAGGTTTGAAGGTTTAGGGCTCAGGATAAGGTCGGTTAGGGTTTAGGGTTCAACGGTTTAGGGTTTCGGCTTTTGGGTTTAGGGTACTGCAGTGCTTTCAGTCAAGGCTTCGTTTAAGGCGATTGTGAGAGCCCGGTCGTGAATGGAATGGAATGGAATGGAATGGGAGTGGCTAGCAGCAGTAGCTTCAGCCGCCCACGCACTTCCCCCCTCACATCGCAGGGCAACTCCGATAACGTCATGGCCGCCCTCCGTGAAGGGTTCGAGAGGGGGTTCTAGCATAATGCAGACCAAGTTGCCGGGAGGGAAGACGAGGGAGGGAGGCGGAAGGCAGCTCGCACGAAGCAAAAAAGCGGGAGAAGGGAACCGCCACCCCGCGAGAAAGGGCCAAGGCAGAAGCCCACCTGAACGTGAGTGAAGGAGCAGGAGCTCAGCAGAAAGGGCCTGGCAGAAGGCGACTGGCATGTAACCAGAAAGCCGCCGCCGAGCTAAGGAGTAGCTTTGGCAGAAAGCGGCTGGTACATAGCCAGCAAAGCCGCCGCCCGTCCGCAAACACGAGTGAAGGAGCAGGAGCTGAAGAGAAAGGGCCTAGCAGAAGCAGCGTGAGATAGGAGTAATGGCGAAAAGGCTACGGGCAGGACAAGCCAATGCGCACAGAGGCGCGGCCCAAAGAAACAGAGAAAGCAGGAACGCCTCACGACAGGCCAATGTATGGCATCCAATCGCACACGGAGGCGCAGCCCAAGAAGGAACACGGAGAAGCGGCCAAAGGCCACGCCGAGAACAAAGCAGGCAGGCAGCAGAACTGGCCAATAGCTCACAAAGGCGCGGCCCGAACAAGCAGCACGGGGTAGGAGTAGCGGCCAAAACGGCCATGCCGAGGACACACAGGCCAATAGCGCACAGAGGCGAGGCCCGAAGAAGCAGCACGAGGTAGGAGTAGGGAGTATACCAGCCAAAACGGCCACGCCGAGCACAAAAGAGGAACGCAGCGGAGGACAGGCCAATAGCGCACATAGGCGCGGCCCGAAGCAGCACGAGGTAGGAGTAGCGGCCAAAACGGCCACGCCGAGGACACACAGGCCAATAGCGCACAGAGGCGCGGGCTGAAGAAGCAGCACGATTTAAGAGTAGCGGCCAAAACGGCCACGCCGAGGACAAAAGAGGAACGCAGCAAAGGACAGGCCAATTGCGCACAGAGGCGCGGCCCGAAGAAGCAGCGAGAGGTAGGAGAAACGGCCAAAGCAATGCCAAGAACACAGCAGAAACACACGAGGACAGGCCAATAGCGCACAGGGTTGCGGCCTGAAGGAGGAGAGACACCGCCAAGCCACGCCGAGGACAAAGCAGGAACGCCCAGGCTTGTAGCACACACAGCCGGAGACGAGAAGGAGAGGTCAAAACATATCGTAAACCACCCTCAAGCCGTAGGAGGAGAACGGCCACGCAGCACGAGCGAAAGGGCCCAATCATACAGAGCAGCCCAAACCACGCCGCTAGCGAATGCAGGAAGCGATGACGGCCACAACGATAACACGAGAGCGTCAGGTCGAGGTTCGAAAGCAACCAACCGCATGGAAGCATGAATGGAGCCAGGTAAAGGGAAGGGAAGGAACAGAGAAGACGAAAGAGCAGAAATGGCACTGTCGCCCCATGGAGGGACTGCGGGCATCTGGGGGAAGGGTGCTCGTCGGCGGTTGGACCGCCTTAGTGCCGCCCTCTGGGGTCCCGCCCCCCAAGAAAGCCAACCCCAGTCCAGCAAACTCCGTGGGCCCAGAGTGAGCCCGATCGTGAATTTCTGCTGCAGGCTCTTTAACTTGTGTTGATATGTTTGGCTATACATATGTATGTGTGTACAATACGTATATTTGTCCCTCCCTCCCTTCCTCCCTGCGTGCATGCATGCATACATAACTAATATATATATATATATATATATATATATATATATATATATATATATAAATATATATATATACACACACAGATATACACCAACACTGTATACGCATATAGACATACATGCATACATACATACATGCATATATACATACATACACACATACATAAAAATGCATACATAAGTACATACATACATACATACATACATACATGCATACATACATACATACATACACACACACACATACACATATACATGTACATATAGATGTTTTTACACGTGCCTGTATAGAAGTACTGGCAATCATACTAACAACACTCAGACACTATAACTAACAAGGTTAAATGTGTGTGATTATATATATATATATATATACATACATACATACATACATGCATGCATGCATGCATGCATGCATGCATGCATACACACATACTCAGACGCCACCGCTTCAGTCTGTATTTATGTACGGATGCATGTGACAGTTATACCTGCATGCATGCATGCATGCATGCGTTGGATGCAAGTAAAGGAGAGTGAGGGAGCTAGTAAGTGAGTGGGCGAGCAACAAAATTGTAGCAAATACGTAAGCACCAAATAAGCGAGTCAGTAAGCGAGGGAGTGAGTATGTATGTATGCATGTGTGTATTGATTGTTTGTGTGTCTGTTTGTGTGTCTGTCCCTCTCAGTCTTTGTTTGGCTGTGTGTCTGTCTAGTGTTGTTTTGCTCGGCTTTATGTTTGGTTGCTTGGTTGTGTGTGTGTGTGTGTTTGGTGTTTTGTTTAGTCGCTTGGCTGTTTGTGGTTATGGTTGTTTTTTGTTTGCATCTTTGTACGCTTGCATGTATGCAAGTATGCATGTACGTATGTGTTTGTTTGTGTATGTGTATGCAAATGCGCATGTGTTTATGCACATGTGCACATGGGGATGACACTTTGTGCACGTATATATGTATGTGCAAAAAAGTAAATATGCATGCATGTGGGTACGTGAGTATGCAAGGCCATATATATATATGTATATATATGGTGCCACCCCCCCCATGGATCCACCGTTTGTTGGCTTGATGTACGCGCCGTCGACAACGTCGTTACACAGTTGTTCTTCAAGGGCCCAGGGCAAGGGTTTGGGGGTTTAGGGAGCCTAACTGAAAAACCTAACTGACAAAACCTAACTGAAAAAAACAAAAAAAACCTAAAAAACCTAAATCTCGATAGTCTTGTCATGGATATCTCTCTGAAGGACTTCCCGAGTTTAGGTTTTTTAGGGTCTTTAGGTTTTTAGGTTTTTTCAGTTAGGTTTTTCCAGTTAGGTTTTTTCAGTTAGGTTTTTCCGACCGGCGCCGGGCACACTGTCTGAAGCTGTTTGAAGCCAAGTGCTCAGTTTACACATTCTGCGTTCTGTATTCTCGATCGGGCCATATGGATGCGGCGTTTGAGCGCGCGTCGTCGCTTCCCGACGAGATGATCGCAGAGATTTGAGACTTTACACGTCGTGTCTGAGTTCAACTTGTTTACACGATGCTGATGCTCATAATGTTTCCTAAAAAGAGCACATATTCTAAAGTGAAGAACCTCAGAACCAAGCAGTGCTTACAGATCCTACAGAAAACGAACTGTTTGTCGGCTACCTACCCGATGGCACTTGTTCGCATCTTTAAAGCTTTGTTGTAATGTTTTTTCCTTATGTCACTTGTTCATGAACCTTGTGCTTTATGTGCCGAACATGTTTACCAGGATCTCGAGTGCTTCGTGTTGGTGAGCGGTTTTTCAATATGATGGCAAGTGGTGGAGAACATCTTAGTCAAGCTGAGCGTTCATTCTTTGGTCTAAAAATATTGGCGAAATCACCAACGGGTATTCAACAAGATTCATAAAGGTATAAAAGGCTTCTATAATCTATGGGTATCTATATGAAACTCTTTAAGATGTAAAGAAGGATTTTCGTGTAAGGTGTTCTATATGCTCTTGTTTTTGATTTCTTCATTGGGCACATAGCAGGTATAGCGCAGAGCATTCTGCTCCTGATTTTCCTCCCATTCACCCGTTATCTATACAGTATTCTACAAGGCATTCTATGGTGCATTTTACGGGTATGTTATAGAATATTCCATAGGGTTATCTTTAGGACTTCCTATGGGGTACTCAGAGGGTATCATAGACATTGTGTATATTCTGTAAGCTAGTCTAAAGGGGATTGCAGATGATGTTCTACAAGGCCTATAAAAGCCCTAGTATGTAACGTTGTTTTGGGCTCTCTATCGGGTACTCCATAACGCATTGTATAAGGGGTTGTACAAAGAAAAACGGGCTGTGACTGAAAGTGCATGATAACGTATTCTAGAGGCTCTAGGGTATTCAATAAGGCATGAAGGTATTCTATATAAGTGCATTCCATATGAAAGGTTTCAAGATACATAGAGAAAGTATTCTACAGGACATTCTTATAAGATATTCTCTATAGTGTCTTGTATAGAGTATAGGGTATGTGTAATATAATGCGTGCGGTGTTATATGTGTTCAGGGTGTATATACTGTATACATGGACTGTCATGTATAGGGCCATAGGGGCATTCTGTAAGGTCTTCTATAGAGTATTCCAGACGGTCTTCCATGAGGCGTACGATTTCTAGAGGGTACTATGTGTTCCATAAGGTATTCTGTAGGGTATTCTATGTCGTATTCTGTAAAGTACTTTAGATATTCAAAAGAAAAACGGGCTGTGACTGAAAGTATATGATAACGTATTCTAGAGGCTCTAGGGTATTCAATAAGGCATGAGGGTATTCTATATTGCATTCCATATGAAAGGTTTCAAGATACATAGAGAAAGTATTCTACAGGGCATGCTATAAGATATTCTCTATAGTGTCTTGTATAGAGTATAGGGTATGTGTAATATAATGCGTGCGGTGTTATATGTGTTCAGGGTATATATACTGTATACATGGACTGTCATGTATAGGGCCATAGGGGCATTCTGTAAGGTGTTCTATAGAGTATTCCAGACGGTCTTCCATGAGGCGTACGATTTCTAGAGGGTACTATGTGTTGCATAAAGTATTCTGCAGGGTATTCTATGTCGTATTCTGTAAGGTACTTTAGATATTCAAAAGAAAAACGGGCTGTGACTGAAAGTATATGATAACGTATTCTAGAGGCTCTAGGGTATTCAATAAGGCATGAGGGTATTCTACATATATCAGTGCATTCCATATGAAAGGTTTCAAGATACATAGAGAAAGTATTCTACAGGACATCCTAAAGGATTTTCTATATAGTGTCTTGTATAGAGTGTCCTATAGGGTATGTGTAATATAATGCGTGCGGCGTGCGGGGTGTATCACATATAGGTGGTCTTGTATACAGTATGCGACAGGATTTTCAGATGGGTTTCTACAGTTACAAGATATGAATTTTGCAAACTATTCCGAAATGTAATCTAAAGGGTGCCTTATTGGTGAAATACAAGGTATTGAACCCTGAAAGGTTCGCTAGATTTCGTGTTCACGGACATTATCTATAATCTCGATGCGTCTTATATATGGGAGGTGTAGAAAAAGGGCCCTCTTTTCACATCTATACTTGTCGTGATACTATGTTATATGGGATGATATATCTTTGCTCTCCTGTTGCGTGTTACCTTCAGAGCCCATACTGCTGCATGCAAAAACTTATATACACACACACACAGAACATGCATGCAAGCTTGCGTTCTTTTGCAACGAGAAGAAGCCGTACGCGAATGTATGTCGCTTGGAAAAACTCAGGGTGTATATGAAGGAAATGCAGAATGTAAGATTTGCGAAATCTTTGATGTAGTCGAAGCGTATTTAGTGAAGGACTTGTAAAGAGAAGGGAATACGTTATAGAATATCAACTATTTCGCATCCGGCTCTCAAACACACAAAAAAGGTGGATCCTTGAGGGGGGGGTAGCATATATATGTATACATACTTATTTATAGATATGTAATTAGATGTACGCGGATATGTCGACATGCTTGTGTGTATTTATGTGCATGTATATGTGTATATATATATATATACACACACATATGCATTTGTATACAGACACACTTCGTCGCCGCCTGCCCTAAAGTGAAGGGATTGTGATTGTGGTGTAGGGTTTGGGGTTTAGGGTGCCGGGTTTAGGGTTAAGTAGTGCGAATGTGCAAGTTTTAGGGATGTTCATCCCTTGTGACGGCCGTCGGACCCTAGCATCTGCAGGGCTAACTGTCGTCTTGGCCGTCAGTAAAGGCACCAGGTAGCTTTTTGGGGCTGGAAAGTTGCAGGCTGGAACAGAGTTCACGTCCTAAGCCGCTAGGCCTGAAAGCTTCAGAACATCGATAAGTGTGGTCATAGGAGTCGCGCCAGCACGAGGTAGCGAAACAGGAAAGCTTCGGAACAGCAGGGAAGAGCCTAAATCGCATGATCCCTTTGCCAAAGACAATCCCAAGAGGATCCCAAACTTTAGGGTTTGCGCAAGCCCCTTCCCCACCTGACGCGAGGTTTGCATAGTGCAGATCATGCAGCTTGGCAGCTTTTTGTTTCAGGCTTTTTGGATTTGAGAGTTGCAAAGAAATGCATAAATATGTATATATACACGTACATATATACACAAAAAACACACATACAAGTTATGTATGTATGTATACACGTACATATATATATATATACATACATATTTATATATAGAGCATATATATATATATATATATATATATATATATGTATGTATTTTAGAGAAGCAATGTAGGCCCGAGATGAAAGGCATTCCATTGAGGGAAGTCGCGACAGCCGGGCCGGTGGGCAAAATGCCAAAGACTCAACACCCTAAGCCCGACGCCGAGACTCCGAAATCCGAACGGACTCTCCTACACCCTAAGCCCTTCTCTCTCAACCCTAAGCCCTAAACCCGAAACTCTTTATCCTAAACCATGAAGTCCTAGACCCGAAACCCTAAACATTACGAACCCTCAACTCTGAGACATAGGAAATCCCTCGAGCCCTTGGCGCCGAAAATCAGCCTCAGCCCAGGAAGGAAATCGCCGACAAGTATGGCGATTTCGAAGAGGCTAGGAACCGGAGTAGGCCCTTATTACTTTGTTTTTTACGGTTTAGTCCCTTTATAAACCCTTTCAACCAAATAGGGCATCATTTTTATTCCCTAAGGGTCCAAGTTGTGCTTATTTATGGTTTTTGGTACCCAAAAAGGACCCAAAGTCCTATACTAGACAGTACTTGGACCCTTCGGGCCGGTGTGTACCTAGAGCTTCCAAAACCCCTTAAGTAGGGAATATATATACATGAAAACATAATAGGATCCCTAATATAACTTAAAGTATATTCCAAAATTAAGGGGTTTAGGAGGCTCTGTGTCCGTCTCCTACAGTTGTAATTACGTACTAGCACTGGTCCCAGTGCTGGTACTACTGTAGTGGTTATTAGCATTAGTATTAGTCTGAGTCTTAGTATTATCTTTAGTACTTGTCGTAGTGGTTGCTGTTGTGGCTGTTGTAGCAACTTCTACTGTCACTACCACTGCCACTGCCGCAGCAGCAACAACAGGCTTCTTTGCAAAGGAACACTGGCCGCAGGCATTGCTGCCCTTTGAGTTTGCCCGGATGACCTGTCTAAAACCACAAGGGTGTTCATGATTGGAACAAGGGTTCGGGGTCTGTCAGATTGTGGTTATGCAGTGTATATATATATATAAGGGAATGCTGTGACTACGTATTCAGACCTGCACAAGACAGTTGAAAATCCTAGGCAATAGCCTGAACCCCATGCAGTAGTGCTAAGCCCGCATTGGGTGTGTGTGTGTGTCCTTCATCCGACGCCATAAACCTTAAACATATGTCCGTGCATGAAGGCGGCACTTACAGTGGCGAACGGCAACCTTGCCGACATGCAGCAGCTAACCCAGCCGACGCCTAAGCCGTTCTTCCTTGGGGTTTCGGATTTGGCGGGTGCGGGGTTAAGGGCTTCCGGCTGGGAGGTTGCAAGAAATTCGCAGGGAGTCCAAGCAGATCAACGATGCAGGGACCCGTCATGGCATCATTGCATCATTACTGGGTATAAATGCGTTGTAAGTATTGGCTTTGGGTTGACGCTTAGGCCGTGAAACCGTCCAGAAAGGCAACGCGGAACGCAACCGTTGCAGGCAAACCGGACACCCTAAACCCAACACTGTCAGAAGTGACAAGCCTTAGGCGGCTGCGGCTGCACTATCCAAGAGTCCATGTGCGAAACATCCAAACATCCTAAGAGAAACGGGTTCCGAGCGCCATCCCTAGCAGCCCAGCAACCTTGTTCCAGTCACCTGCATGCTTTAGATTGCTGTGTTCCTGCTGAAACAGCCCTGATTCAGAATGGGCTCTTCCAAAGGGGATGACATCAGGAGGATCTCCTCAACATGGGCGTTTCAAACCCTAAACCCTACAGCCCTACACCCCAAACCGAGGGGATGACCTCAGGAGGATCTCCCGGAAAGTGTGATCAATGTTGGGGTGCTGTTTAACACTCGGGGAAAAGATCACGGTTCGCGAATTCAAGCCGAAAATACCAAGATGAGGAACCCTAGGCCTCTAGGCACGGTCTTTGTACGTTTTATGGGCCTAGCGTTTAGAGTATATGACGGTATATGGGAACATTTACCTTCTTCAAAGGTACCTTGGCTACTCTAGGCACGTTGAGGATGAGAGGGATTTATGGGGCTGGTTCGAAACCTGAAGGACTCAAGGTCCTTTGGCCCAGAAGGGAATCCTTGGAATAACCCTCAAAGGAACGGCTAACGGGATCCTTTAAAGGAGCTCTTCAAGCAACCCTAGTGCTGGGAGGTTCGATTTAGGGATGAGGGACCCCCTCCGAATTCAGGAATCTCAACCTGAGTCCCTACAGTATTAACCTCCCCAAACCCTGTTCAAGATGTGTAAACGATCTCCCTAAGGGTCCTAGGTACTGTTATGGGGAATACCTCCCCAAACCATAATAGTAATTCCTAATATAGAAACCCCACATTCTCCTATATAGCTACTTTGCACCCTTTGGGTCTGTAAGCTTTGCATAAGCCACCTAAATCGTGAAACCGAGAGAGGGCCTCCAAACATGAGGTTGAATCCGGAGATTATCGCCCTTCTTGACATCGCAGCTGGTTGGCATCTTGGCGGCAAATGGCGCGTTGCTGGAGGGTTACTTGGAGGGTCGGTGGACTTATGAGTCCCTAAAATAACCAGCTACTTAAAGGATCATGGCCCCTTTAAAGGGGTCCTATTAAGCGATCTACAAAGTTTACTATTAAGGGTTCTATGCGAGTTTTGGGGGTACTTACAGGATCATGGGACTTAGTAACTAGGGTTATAAGTAAGGTAACTGTACTTATAACCCCGATTAAGGTACTTATAACCTTACTTACTAAGTCCCATGATCCTCCAAGCAAACATAGGGGCTATGCACTGGTGCGCCATCGCAGCATTTCGAGGGATTCCACTCGAAGTAGCTCAACTTCATGGGAATTCGTTTACCCCCTCAGCCCCCTGGCAGCCAGGCAAATGAACATTTGCAGCAGGATAGGACAAGTTCATGTTGAACACCCAGAAAGCCAAAAGCCTAAACCCCAACCCTTTGGAGGCGGCCCGGGAAAGCGTGAAAGTGCCGGCCCCACAGGTAGAGTGCTTCTCATACCCTAGTCGAGATATTATACGGCCCGTAAATGTAAAGCTGTCAAGTACCTTATCCAGACTTTGACAAGGATGGCCCAATGATGGCCCTTCCTACTCTTTATCACAAGCCCCTGCTACCAAACCCTAAACCCAAAGCCCTAAACCCAGGCCGCTGATACCAAACTCAGGTTTGGTGACCCTCGTGACAAGACCTGTGAAGCCCCTGTGCTCACCGACTCTTGGCAAGATGGGGGTTCAAGGGCTTCAGGGCCGTAGGCTTTAGAGCGGAGGGTTTGGGGTGTAGCGCATTCAATTCGCCAATTGACATGGTGGAATCCATAACATTGCGAAAGTGAAACCACCACCGACATATATGGAGCGGGACCGACGAGCAAAAAACTACAGTGTTTTGGGTTGTTGTTTGGGGCGGAGGGTTTGGATTTAGGGCCTTAGAGGTTTAGGGTCTTAGACTTAGAGTCAGGCTTTCAGGGATTAGGCTTTAGGTGAGGCTTCATGGGCTTTACATGAATGGTGGGGGCGACTTAGTCAGTAGGGAATAAGCAGAGTTATCCGTGCCAAACCCCAAACCCCTAACACCTAAACCCCTAAACTCTCAAAGCCCTATATCTAGGAATCTAGGATGCCCAGTAGTACCCTTATTCCCCTTTTGTAGTCCTAGGTTCCCTATAAAGTTACCCAATACCAAAAAGGGAGCTCTTTTTCTTCCTAGGTTGCTGGGCATCCTAGATACAGACCCCAACGGTTGATGATATAAATCCTGCATGACCCATAACAAGGAATATACCGTAATTCCCATAGTTTAGGGCCATTAACGTAATGCAGGATTTGTATCATCTACCGCAAGCATCCCCAAGCGCTTCAGGGCCTGGAGTGGCAGGGCCTCATCAACGAAGTCGGGAGCATGAGAGCAATGAGCCAAGAAGCTGCAGGCCGATAGAGCGGGGCTTTATCTTAAGTCTTAGGGGTAATTAGAAATATTTTTTAATTTTTGGTGATTAGAGGTTTCAGCATATGGGGGTTTGGTAGGGATTAGGGTTCCCATAATAGGGTTCATATGAAGGAATCCGAATCCCAACCCCAAGAATCTTAAACCCCCCTTTTGGCCTCCCATCATTATAAGCATTCCTTATTCAGGGATCCAAAAAGCACATAAGCATAAGCATTTTACTGGGATATCCTTACCTTCTTGGGCTTCCTTTTAAGGGGGTTTATATGGGATATCCCTATCCTAAGTTTTGCTTATGTGCTTTTTTGGAGCCCTACTTATATCGGTCGGTGGTCTCTTGCCTTGGGATTTCTGTTTTAAGGGCCGGCTATCATCGGATTTCAATTAGGGCTACATTAGGCTGTATTAGGAACGGACAAAGGTTTAAAGCATTCCTTTAATAGGCTCCATAAGGGTAATGTAAGGGATGTATAGGGTTTTGGGGGTCTAGTGCTCAGGGTATAAAGGAATCAGGGGTTTAAGGCTGTAGGGTTTAGGGTGTAGAGGAATTTGGGGTACAATATAAGAGGGCCTAAATAGTGACCAATACTATTTGGGGGGGGGGGGGGGGTCCTTATTATAAGTTTTGTATACTGGGCGCCAAAACCTTGTTCGAATTAATATGCCCGTACATTTGGGGGGTTTAGAGGGCTTAAGGGTTTAGGGTTTAGAGGGTTTCGGGTTTAAGGGCTTAGGGTTCAAGGGTTTAGGCTTCACGGTTTACAGGGTTTACAGGGCTTCGGGGTTTAGGGTTCAGGGTTTAGGAGGGTTTAGGGGTTTGAGGGTTCAGGGGTTTGAGGGTTCAGGGTTTAGGGGTTTAGTGGCTTTGGGTTTAGGAAGGTTTACATGAACCCGAAGAACCGGCATTGTTCAGGAATTCTGCAGCAGGGTCTACCCATGCGGGGTATAACGACCCTTGCGGGGTCATCAGCACTCGAACTATACACTTCTGACTATGTATGTGCCTCATCCCATGATTATGGTTTCCATAAAATTACGAGTCCTTGAAAAAGGCAGGCTTTTAGGGTGAAGCCCTATATCCCCACACTGCTGATCTTCAGCCAGCCCGCCGCCAGGTGATTACCTCCTGTCGCACAATCGCAACTAGGCGTCCCAGTGGGCCCTTTTTCCCTTTTTGAAGTCCTAGGTTCCCTAAAAAGTTACCCACTACCAAAAAGGGATCCTTTTTTATTCCTAGGTTGCTGGGCATCCTAGGCAATGGCACATCGGCGCAAGACGGCCTGATGAATACGAAAGCACGGATCGACTCTCACCTGTGCCATGGGCAGGGGCAGATGGATGTACGGTTGATGATATAAATCCTGCATTACCTTAATGACCCTAGACTATGGAATTACAGTATATGTCTTATTGTGGGTCATGCAGGATTTCTATCACCAACCGTAGGGATTGTAATCAGATGGGTGAGCAGTGAACCAAGGCGGTAAATGTCAGACAACCGCTAGATCAACCAGCAGGTTCTACGTTTTAGGAGCCAGCAGCTGGGACCACCATTGAGCACTGCGATGTTCTTACAGAATGGCTGTTCGCAGCCATTTCGTGACTGGGATATCGTTTGAACCTCAAAGGAATACCACTGGACCACGAATGTTGAGTAAAAGCTCTTGAATCTAGCAGTATCCAGCCAAGTGTCTTGATTCTCCCACGGCGTTTCTTTTACAGGTTACCGCACCATTGCCATTTGTAATGAGCCTGCTACGACCGCGAAGACATTGCACGAATTCTATGGCCGAATACGCCCCTTGTCCCAGAGCCGAAACCCTAAACCAAAAAGTGTTTGTTCCGCTCAGCTCGTAATGAACACATGTTACAAATGTCGTCGTTGATGCTGTCGTCGATTTCTTGGTAGTCGTTTGCTTTTTGGTGGCGCCGTCGTTGCAGTTTGTTCATGCTGTTCGTCGTTCGTTGGTTGGGGTGATGGTGTGGCGTGGTGTGTTTTTGGTCTAAACCCCAAACCCCCAAACCCTAAACCCTTAAACCCGTAAACCGTTAAACTCTAAACCCCTAACCCCCCAAGCCCTTAGACCATAAACCCTTGGCCCTAAGCCGAGTGTTCGGACCCAAGAATCTGAAGCCAAAACATGACACAGAAACACACAAAGAGGCAAACAGCGAAAGAGAGAAAGCAAGAAGAAGAAGGAGAGAGAGAGAGAGAGAGAGATAGAGAGGAGACAGAGAGGAGACAGAGAGGAGACAGAGACAGTGTGGCCCTTAAGTGCTTGGGAGCATACCCTTTGCTCAAGCGTGGCTTACAGGCAGCCGTGAACTCGGAACTTGACATGGTGGTTTCCGAAAATTAGGGGTACCTTCTTTGGGGGTCCTTATAACAAGGATCCTACGATTTCGGGGTACTATATTAGGGTCCCCTAACTTTGGAAACTCCCACATACCTTGAATGCAACATCTTCGGCCCTGGTTGAACCCTAAACTGCCTTCATGTTGGCTTTGGCCTGGGGGTCATAACATTTCTATGAATATTCCCGTATAGTAAAGTCCATAACATGAATCTGTGGAACCCTAAAAAAATCTTAAACCCTACAACCCTAAACACCAAAAGCCCCTATTCCGACGGTTAAGGCAGCCGGGAGTCTCCCCTAAAGGGAATTCCAGAAAGTTGGAATATGGTCTCAGGGTAGGATACCTTACCATAAATGGTTTAGGATAATCATATTCCAACTTTCTGGCTTTTACTTTAAGTCCGACGAGCCCTAAATCTTAAACCCAATCCCCGCTCTTCCCCACCCCCCCACCCCCTGCGGCCCAACCACAACAAACACCCTAAAAGCCTAAAGGGTGAGCTGCGGTAGGGTCTAGGGTTTATAGGGTTTAAACACCCTAAACCCTGAACCTGAACCCTAAACCCTAAACCCAGTTAAGTCCCCTAAGCCTCCAAGTAGTCCTGACTTATGGGTTTTTGGTACCCAAAATGAAGTCCTACAACAAGGTGTACTTGGCCCTTTTGGCTTCCCCTCTGAGGAAAGCTGCTTAAACCCTACCTGGACCCGAGAGAATGAACCAGATAAGGGTTCCGTAATTACTATGATTTCCTTATATTTAAATCCGTGAAACCGTAGGCCATTTGGGGTTACGGTAAACCCTAAACCCCTAACCCCTAAACCCTAAATCCCTTCTGAGGAAAGCTCCTTAAAGCGCATGAAGTTTGGGAGTCGATTGCCGCGCCTTGGCAGCGGCCTGGGTAACTGTTGCAGGGTTTTGGGGTTAAGTAGGGTTTTATAAGGGTTCCTTCAAAGGGATCCATAAGGGTAGTGTAAGGGACCTATAGGGGTTCAGGGTTTAAGGGTTAAGGGTTTAGGGTATAGAGGAGTTCGAGGTTTAAGATAGGGGACCTATGCTATTTTGGAGGTTCCTTGTTAGAAGTATTATAGTACTTACAATGGGCCCCAAAACCCTGTTCTAGTTACTAAGGCCCCTACATTATGGTGTTGTTAGTACGCATCGTCAACCTGAACCCTAAACTGCGATTACAGTGTGGCTCAGGGTTTGGGAGTAAAAGCCGTCAACTTCGAACCCTAAACAGGGCGTAGGGTTTAGGGTTTTAGGTCTTTGGGGTTTACAGGGCTTCTAGGGCTTGGAGCGTTTAGGGCTTCGGGCTTAGGTTTTGGGGATTCTATGCGGTTCATTTTGAGGTTGTTCCAGCCCGACGACCGACTAACAATGGATATGATAAAACCTCATAGGTCATAGGAGGCCAAAAAGGGTTTTAGCCTATGGGGCTTTAGTAGGGATTAGGGTTCCATAGTGGGGTTCATATTAAGGAATCCCTACCCCAAGAATCTTAAACCGCCCCTGTTGGCCTGCCATCAAAAGGGGGTAAAGGGTCGACGCGTGCTAAGGAATGACGGTTCGAGGAACAGCAGCCCGCTGTAGTACCCAAACCCCCAAAAGGATCCAAAAAGTAGATCCCTTAATGGGGATTCTTAAGTACCCCTAGTAGTGTAGGGCCCCAAATTAGGGGATCTACTTTCTAGATCCTCCCGAAGGTCTGGGTATAGAGCGGGGTTTACCTGTTGCTCCAATTGTGTAAGCTGAAGTTGCAGATGAGGTTTAGGGAGTTTTGTGGCAGGTGTAGGGTGGATTGAGCGGTCATGTCATGCTCTGCCAAGTCTGCAGATTAGAGGTTCACGGAGTATTGTGGTGGGTGTAGGCTTGAGTGTGCGGGCGGAGCAAGGGTGGTAGTATGAGGGGTAGTATCAGCTGCAATCGCTGTGTCGGACTGGTTGGGAAAACCGGCTTTCCGTGAAGTTATGCCTTACAAAGGAGTTTATCTGGACAAGGCCTACGTACCCATTTCGCAGACGCTTGCACACAGGCACACACGACCCCAATTAAACTCTGAATCTGACACCTCCAATGGAGACGTTCCAAAACCATTCAATTTCTCTGCAGAAATTTCGATAAAGCCCTGAACCAAAGTCGGCTGCCTAGGTCAGTTGAGATTTAAGGCTGAGGTTGAGGGCTTAGGGTTGTCGTGTAGTCCAATGGCACAACTAACTTATTGTAGCTAGCTGTGTGAACACCCCCAAACCACCTCGAGTATATACACTAAACGTTTGAGCCCATTGCGTGGGGAACGTACATACACACATTGATACATACATGCATGCTTAATGGCTTACTTACATACATGCCTACATCAATACCTACATACATACCTGCATTCGTACACACATACATACATACCACGCCTGCTTATTCTACCTGCAAAGCCGGCGTTCTTACAATTGGTGGGCTTCTATTTGCATTTCTGGTGCATCCGAACCGTTCCAAACCCATGAGCCATCAAAAGGAGTGTGCCAGCGCCGACGACCCAAATGATCTTGGATGACCTGCTGAAGCTGTGCTGTAATTTTATCCCTCGGGTTGTTAGGGGTGTTTTCGGATTCGAAAAGGCGGAGTGAACAAGGCTGTGGCTTTGGGGTTCACAGCCGAGGCTTGAGCCGTGGTGGAGCTTTAAGCCACTTATGTCGGGTGGAAAGTAAATCGGTGCTTCGGTTGTACTAAGTACCCGCCCTGAAGCCTCCCAACCGACCCGAAACCCTACGAATCTTCACCGCGGTTACCATCAAAGATCTAGGTTCCCCAGTAGACTTCTGCATCCTTTTATTCAGGGATCCCCTACTAAAACTGAGTACCAGGAAAGAGGGTACCGTTATCGTTATGGGGACACTGGGGAGCCCACAGGTTGAAAATCCTAAACCTGCTGCAGCCGGGCAATCTCGACACTCCCGACATCGACTCCCCACACCCATGTGTATCCACATTAGCATAGAAATACTTACTTGTAGCCGAAAAGGCCTACGTACCTGTTTAGCGTTCCTTATTATGGTGTTTTCTTTATTTAGTTCCCTCAAAGGGTAGGTCTTTTGGGCCGCAGGTATGGCTTGCGGGTTTCGGGCTATGTTCCTGCATTTCTCGTGATGATGGCTATGGGAGTTTCCGTAAATAGGCGATCCTAATCTAGTAACCTAAATAGGAGGATCCGTTTTACAAGGACCCCAAAGTGAAAATCAAGTACCATGAATTTTCGGGAGATCCCGTATCATGGAATATTGAATATGCTACAAATCCAAAATCCGCATCCAAGCATAATTTTGTCCGTCAGGCGACAGCGTTTCGGGCTACTTGTAGCATCATAGGACTTAGTAACCCTATGATTCCAACCACCCTAGAAACCTAGGGCGTTGCCATTACCACCCTACTTTTTCCCGTGGTTGGGAAATCGTGGCCGAACCACCTAATTAGGGACCAAGCAAACCCCCTTCCATAAAATAGAGACGATCCCCCGAACAACCTCAATTCGACCCGACGATGTTCAAGAGCCTGCGGACCCGAACCACCCTGAAATGACCCATTCGAAAATCGAGGAATGGAACTCGAACCACCCCGAAAGAGACCTCAACAATATGACCCTCAACCCTAGGGCCTTAAACCGTAGACCCCTCAACCCTAAATTCTGGGGTTGAAACCCTAAACCCAAGGGCCTTCGTACTGGGTCGGGTGCTGTGGCGTGGCTTTGGGGCTCTGGTACTTTCTCTGGGGTCTGGGGCTCGGGGACCAAGTTTGGGTGGGGGTCTCGGGTTGGGGTTTGCGGGTTTGCTTCGCTCAATTCGTAGACTGGACTTAAATTTTGGGGCACAGTACTGGGGCCTAGGGCCCTAAGCCAAACCCTAGGACCCCAAACCGTAAACCGCCGGACCCTCAACCCTAAAGCTCAGGGATCCCCAGGGCCCGAAACCTCAAACCTAGGACCCCCTCAACCTTAAACCCTGGAGCCTGAAACCCTAAACCCTAGGGCCCGAAACCCTAAACCCTAGCACCCTAAACCTCAACCTAGGGCCTTTATCCCTACACCCTAGGCCCCAAACCCTACACCCTAGGGCCCAAAACCCTAAACCCTCGGGACCGAAACCCTCAACCCTCAAACCCCGGAACCCCATCGATGTTTTCCGGGCGCTCGGGATCACGATTGTCGAGCCCTTTGGGCCGCACTGGCATTCAAATCCAATCGGCGAACTTTATATTTCATCGCCAAAAGCCGGAACCCAGCAACTTTCAGGACATGCCTTTCGTAATGTCGCCGCTTGTTGGACCTCGCAGAAAGTCCTCGGCTTCAGAAATTCTTTGAGGGGCCGAACTTATATGTCTGGGTTTTGGGCCCGGGGGTATTCTATGATGTCTTTGGGGTTGCTTCAGGGTTTGGGGCTCAAGTTCCAGGGCCCTCATAGGTCGATTATGGGTTTTCCAATGCCGACGGGGCTCTTTTCACATATGACATGTGGTCCTCGTCGAGGGCTCCATGAAGAAACCTTTGATTCATACCTCAGAGCACCAGCAGGAAGCTAGAACACGGTCGTGGTCCTTTTTGCCGTCAAGTGTCACCAATCTCGGGTCATGACGAGCTGTTCGTGGAAGGCCTCGGCCACGGCAGCCCAATTGCAAACTCCAAGCCCCCACCGTAGTCGCTGAGCAGAGCACATGAAATTTGGGTTTCAGCAGCCATCTTTTCAGATTCTTCCTGCCCAGCAGAAATGTGTGCAAAGGAATACCGTTTCTAGTGAGGAGCCCCAGCAGTCCTTTGGCACAGCCTTGTGAGGGCCACATGTGACTCCAGGAAGCCCATCCCCGCCGAATAGAGCTGCATGGCTTCGTCCACAGTCCTGGATTGATCGGGCTTAGGGTTTAGGGCTTCCCGTGCAGAAATCCATGAAGCCAGGTTTCAAAAACCGCCGGAATCTCTCGGACAAGTCCACATAGGAGGCGATCGAGGTCCTCGAATGAGAAGGAGAATACCACTACACATGAGACATTGTTGTCTAGCCACAGAAAAAGAAAACGGAAAGGGTGAAGGTCCCAGTGAAATTGAATGAGGGTGGAGCCGAGGGGCAGTGCATGTGTCATAAGACACAGCTCATCGCTGGGGTTTGCAGTACCCTGCCAGGCCTTCTGTGCCTCTGAGGCAAGCCAGGAAGCAAGAACCCGGCTGTTGAATCCCTTGCAACTCATATATGCACCATGCTTCGCTTTGTAGAGCATGCCAGGTGTAAACTGCCGCTGCGAACATGTAACCTTGTTTGCAGACTTCCAGTCGCAAAAGTCGGCCCAGGCCTTTTGAAGCCGAAGTCTGATGTCGACATCCGGCAGCCCCCACCAAGCCATGTCCAGAAGGCATGCCATTGCGCCCCCATTGGCAGTCCAGAGCCTCTTCGGACCATTGCCCCAAATTTAGAGCAAACTCGACAAGCGGAAAACCTTATTAAGGACAAATGCTGCCAGGAGACAAGCCCAAGTAGAGGTTGTGGAGCAAGCACCAGGTGATTTTGGAAGGATGAAAATCCGTCAGCAGCACCAAAGGCGAAGCATCGTGCTTTGAAACCTCAGCCAAAAAAGCCCGAGTGTCCCTGAAGTCCAGGTCAGTAGCCAGAGGCAGGTCTGCCATGTTTTGCCGCACCATTCGGCAATGGTGGCAAATCAAAGGAGAATTCCAATGGGACCGCAGGGATAGAGCCTCACGAAAATACTTCCAATCCCCACCGATCTCGGTGACGATGAAGCAGCGACCGTCCTGGGTCAATGGTGTGGCTGCTGCCCTGCTTAAAGCAGCAACGATATGACCAATGACAGGTTTCAGGGTTGCCCAGCCGAGGTAACTGTCATCCAACGACAAGATGGAAAGCAAAAAGCGCGAATTCCTCGCACTGCGTGGCCGCCACAACGGACAGCTGAGCACGAATGCGAGGGCTTTGTCGCCCATCCTGCAGTTCCACAAACACCAAAAACAAAATCATAATTCGAATAAGCATCTTCTGGAAAAAGCTATGTTCGAGTAAAGCCGAGATGCTGGTTGAACGTAGCATCGTCGCCGAAGATTTTCAAGGGAATCGGCCATCCTCCTGGCTGGGTCGAATAGTCGACGTGTTGAGCCCAAGGGACCCCGGCTTGCTTGGCCTGCGTCCAATAATCCTCGATGCTCTTCGAAGAAACTTTGAGACCCACCTCGTTCCAAAGAAAACGGAGAACCTCGTCGGCATTGAAGATTGGAATATCCTTGTATTCTATTTTGGTTTCGCTGACTTTCACAGGCACCGAGCACGAAGTCATCTCCTTATATCGAGCTTGCAAGGGAACAGAACACGTGTATCGCATGTACTAAGAACCACCAGCATAAAGCAAAGCCCCAAGCAAGCTTAAAACCAAGAGCCCCGAGCTTGTACTGATAAGAAACCCCACACAAAAAGCACAACCTTGACGTAAAAGGCTACTGGCCCCTGACCTAAATCGCGACCCGTGGCTCGAAGGGAAGTTTCGCGAAACGTGTAAAGTTCCGGGCAGCATTTCCCCGCCCTTGGTAGCTCGCCAGCTTCTTCGTTTTCGCAGACGAATGGCCACGGCTATCCTGGGGCTTTATGAATTCGAATTTTAATAAACCTAAACCCCTCAACCCTAACCCCTAATAAACCTTAAGCAGTTTTGGGGTGTAGCCGTACGTGTAGCCTTTGGATGGTTTTCGGGTTGAAGCGGGGTTATGGGCTTAACCTTGAGGCTTATAGGCCTTAAGAACAGATTGCCCAAAACGTGGGGCCCACTCCATCAGCACACGGGTTGAGCCTTTATGGGGTTTTATGTTGCGGCTTTAAGATTTAGGGGGCTTCGTGGTTTCGGGAGTTAAGGGTTGCGGCTTCGGCTGCCATGCTCCTTGGCGGCTGCAGCTGCCGCCTTCATCTGTCTTTGGATGCTGGAGGCCTGGGGCAAAGCTAGTACAGTATAACGTGTACAGGGCCGGCGTGAATACTATCTCGGGTGAAACCGAACCAAGAGCCACACCCCATCACCAATCTCCTCGAGCATATGCAAGAAAAAAGGGGCTTGCGCTTCCAGATCTTCATCCTCCGTACCTGGCATGCGGCTGCCGAAACCAGGGATCCATGGTTGATTGTGGGATGTGCTTTGTACAGCAAGAATCCACTGCAAGGTCCTTTTCATCGTCGGTCCGGGCCATAGCTAGGGGCTGGGTCTAAGGATTCGGTGCATTCCCCCTGCACGAACCCAACCAACCCGTGCTTTGCACGAACAGTCAGCCCTCAGGAGGCCTCAGAATCGTCACATTTGCATCATCCAGATCGATCTAAAGCGATCTCACAAGCACCGACACAGTGGCATCTGCACTGTGTCCAGGCTCCACGTTAGATCTCGATCCATATTCTAGAATATACTTAAGCTCTCTAGCTCAGTACAGGACGAGTGCCCCTAGCTGACGATCAGCTGTTTGGCAGCAGTGCCTAGAGCTAGTGATCAGGATCCTACTTGGAGCCCGGCTTCCCCTGATTTCCCTCGTCAGTTCTCTTGGCCGACAGCAGGAAGCGGTCGATGGCGTCAATCAAGCCGAGCACCACAGCCTGTTGGTCGGGGATCTCCTTCACCTGCTTGCTTGGGATTTAGGCTGAGTTTCAGGGGGCTTCTATGGCGAATTTGTGTTAGGTTTCGTGTTTTCGGGGTTGGTTCGGCTTTGGCATTTGCATGCTCTTTGTGGTTTAGGCCTAGCCATGGGCTTTAAGGGTTTAGGCGCTCAGAATTTGGGGTTTACGCATTTCAGGATGAGCTACAGCAGATTTTGCTAAACCTTTCGGGCATTGTCGTGCTGCTGGTAGTAATTACAAGATCATTCTGATATGCCCCCTAAACCCTGTAAGCCCTAAGTATAAATAATAATAATCCCGGATATAAACCTGACACCGTACCTAAACCCAATGCTACTATATATATAACAGATCCCTAAGCCGTCAATCCCTTCAATGAAGGTCCCAGGGCCGACTTCGGGGATCGGCTTTGAATTGATGGGGACTAATTATATAGCAGGTTTAGGCTTTGGGGATGGTGCCCAGACCTTGCCAGCGTCGATGAAGCTCTGCAGGCGGTTTCGCATCTTGCACACCTCCTTGCTTTTGATCTGCAAGTCGTCCAGGTAGGCTTTGCGGAGCACATCGGACCTCCAGAGACCCAAAGATTTCGGGGCATAGGGTTTAGGGTTGAACCTGGGACACATTTGAAAGTTAAGGGCAAGAGATTGGTCACGAGGGACATGTCGGCCAGCTCCGGCGACTTCATAGTGAGCTTTCCCACATACTGGATGCGATTGTTCGCCGTTTGAACAGCCTGCAATCCAGGGATCTGGCAGCAGCATAATTGGCCTAGACGACCCCCTGTAATGCACCTGAATCTCTGGCCTTCTCGGCATCTTTCATGACATCCGGCGGGCCCTCCAAGGCCTTCGGCTTCCGCGTCGCGGCTGCTTTGCCCTTCGCCTGGTGAAGCAGGACAGGTCTTTCGGATTTCTGTTGGTTTTCGGAGGCCTAAGGCCTAAGGGCACACCCCATTTATAACATGAACCCGTCTTGTCATGAACCTGACACCGAAGCCTTAAACTGGAAGCCCTAACACCATAAACCTGTGCTGCCCCAAACACTGATCCCTAAAAAACAGAAGCCCTAAACCCTAGGACGGGAACTTCACGAGGGTTTGATTATGGAATTCCGGGTTTGGGGCTTTAGAGCTTCTGGGGCTTAAGGTTTCCAGGGCGAAAGGGTCTCAGGTTTAGGTTTCGTGCTTTGGGGTGTATAGGTTTCCCTGGGCCTGCCTTGGCCTTAGCAGCACGGCCCTTGGGGTACTTCACTCGTCGATTGCAGCCTCTGTTCGGGGAACCGCCGTCTTCGGACACCGTGAGAAGCCTGGAAATCCAATCCTCTTGGATATCCTCCTCCGCCTCGGAGTCAAGGACCCAGAATTGCTGGGCCTCCTGGTAGCAGGCGGCTAGAAATTGCAAGGTGCAATGTGCACGGCTGGGTTGGTAGGACTTAGGTATAAAAATAGACAAATGTAACACAAGCCTTGACCCCCGGACAATCGGGATGATCCCTGACTTCGGCAGAGTCTTTCACGGACCGCTTGTGCTCCACTATGGCTTCGGCCACTGTCTCTCCAAGCTTGCTGACCAACTCTTGGAAAGTAAGCCACTTTTTGACTCCCTTCCGAGTTTTGGTGTTCTTCGAGCACACGTTTACGTAGACACAGGACTTTCGCCAATCGCCCTCGGCATTGCACCAGGACTCGAAGAGATAGTGCAGACAGGTGAGTCCTGGAACAGCAAAGCCCAACATTAATTTAATATAAGTGATCATCAGTACACTGTGGGATCTCGTCTGAGGCTTGGGCTGCCCTCCCCAGCCGACTTGGCATTCTCGCCCACCGAAACGATCTGGTTCGGCGACCGTGGGCCTATGTCTTCAAACAGGACCGGGTATACACTAAACCCCATATAAGCCTATATCCGACATGATATGTATTAAGTGCAAGGGGCTGTCGAGGCTCCTCATGAACCGGGCCCACTTCGCATGTGCCTGCAAGTAGGCTTGTCTCTTCTTTGCCTGCTTGGCCTCATCCTGCTTTGAATCCGCTTCTGCCGATGGCTCCTCCTGCTGCTCCTGGCCACCTGCATTGTCCCCTGAAGCCCCAGGCTGCCGTTCCCACGACTTTTCCCAGCCCCCGCTCCACCAGCTGCTGTTGTTGCCGTACCACCAGTGGTTGTCCTGTCCGGCACTTGCATTCCAGGACCAGGAGCTCCAGGAATCATCGGCGCTCTCGGCAGCATCCTCCTGGATGGGTTTAAGCGTTTAGGGTTTCAGGGTTTAGGCTTAAGGGTTTTGGGTTAAGGGGTTTTGGGATTTGGGGTTAAGGGTTCAGGTTTAAAGGTTTACCGCTAAAGGGTTTGGGGTTTAAGTGTTGAAGAATTTAGAGGGTTTGGCGTTCAAGGGTTTTGGCTGTAAGGTTGAAGGGTTCAAGGGTTTAGGGTTCAAGCCCTGCAAAGCAGGAGAGCATGTTTAAATCCTCGGCGACAAGTCGGAGGTTGGAGACTTTAGGGTTGAATCGTTTGGGGTGTGAGGGTTTGTGGTTTTCGGCTGGGCATCGCTAGCATGGACCACAATCCAGGGAGAAACAGAGCTTTCAAGGCTGTGCCATGATGCGATCTGGTCTGTCCTGCTTGGCGATCTTCTTCGGCGGCTCTGCGACCTGTCTCGGGCAGCTAGGGTTTATGTAGGGCTCAAGGGTTGTAGGGAGAGGGCTTTTGGAGGGCACCTAGTGGGGCTATCGGGTTTTTAACAAGGGCCTCGTGGGAAGACTTCGCCGGGGTCTGCTTCTTCTCGGATTTGCTGCCTTCCTGCGTGCACAGTGTGTGTGGGCTATTAAAGAAAGCACCCTCGGAATCCTTCGGCGAAGTCTGCTTCTTCTTGTTCTTGCCGGCTTCCTGCGGAGTGGCTTCGATTCTATTTGCTTTGCATTGAATTTAGGAGTCTTAAAGCGAATCAGCCTCATTCGGCGGGGTCTGCTTCTTCTCGGGCTTCGTGTCTTCCTGCAGGGTGACTATATATATCTGCTGGTTTATAGTAGGAGTCTGGGCGATCTTATAAAGTTAAAGTTTCCTGGGAACTCTTCGGCGGGGTCTGCTTCTTCTCGGGCTTGCTGTCTTCCTCCAGAGTGACTTATCACATGTGATTTTCAATAGGAGTCTAAGGATCTAAAAGAAAGGCTCCTCGGAACTCTTCGCCTGGGTCTTCTTCTTCTCGGGCTTGGTGTCTTCCTGGAGAGTGACTATATATATATATATGGTTTAGCAGGAGTCTGGGATCTTAGAGTTATACAGCCTCCTCGGAACTCTTCGGCGGGGTCTGCTTCTTCTCGAGCTGGCTGTCTTCCTGCAGAGTGTCTCACTTATCACATGTAATTTGGTCTGGGAGTTTAAGGATCTTAAAGAACGGCTCCTCGGAACTCTTCGCCGGGGTCTGCTTCTGCTCGGGCTTTCTCGCTTCCTGCAGAATGGCAGTTAATTGGATTTTAAAGGATCGCTTATTTGAAAGGCTCCTTAGAATCCTGGGGCGAAGTGTGCTTCTTCTTGGGCTTGATGGCTTCCTGCTCAGTGATCGATTTGCGTTGGAGTTTGGGATCTTGAATCAAAGACTGCTGGGAATCCTTGGGCGAGGTCTGCTTCTTCTCGAGCTGGCTGTCTTCCTGCAGAGCGACTTCTTGCAGTTGGTTATATGTATTATAAGAGGGTGTAGGATCTAGGGCTTCGGGGTTTCGTTCGGTTTTTCCCGAACCGGAAACTCAATCCTTCAAGTTCCAACCTTTGCAACTCAAGAGGCCTTCGGGGCGAGGGTTATGTAGAGGCCTATTAGAATCAGCTATCGAAGAGGCCTTGGGGCTAGGGCCCGTGTTCAGGACTTTGGGTTCAGGGGTTTGGGGTGTAGGGCTTAGGGTGTGATGTAGGGGCCTCTATTGAATGGCTCTTTACCTGGAGGGGGCCTGCTAGATCCCAATTGGGTGTAGGTTTCGGGTCCGTCAGGAATATATAATATATTTATCCATCAACCCGTCTTTACAAATGCCAGTCACTGCTTGTGCACGGGATACGTTTTTTCGTGTCTGTCGACGATCATGTCTTCTCTTGATATTTCCCACATGTCTCCCGCACAGATCAGATTAATCCAGTGTGTGGAGGTCACACGGCGGGAAGGCTATGGCACAAACAGCCCCTCTCACTTGCAACTCTTGGAATGCCGGCGAACTGAAATGCATCTCCGCTTCATTCCGTGGACCCAGCACAGAATAGTACAAGGATGCAGGAACGGAATAATCGGATAGCGATATGAAGCATGACGAAGACAGAGCCGTCACGGTACGGAAGAACACAAAATCCAGTTTGCAGCCCTCCAGGATCACATTGTCCCAACGAAGTTCATATGGAGTATATGCACCAGGAGCCACTGCAAACATTCCATGATAAGGCCCCCAAAGATGCAAGAGGTATTCGGTTCTGCGTTCGATGAGAGTGAGGTGCTCAGTCCACCTGCCATCATAGTCGTCCCCTTCATCGAGGATAATCGACAAAAAATAAGAAGAGCCTGCGAAAGCGAAGATCCTATCCCAGAAGACGGCGATACCTGATACAGTGTCCATGGCGGCAGGCCTGTACTTTGGGAATCCAATACATAAGAAGCGGAGCCAGAAAAAGCTACTGCGGCAAGAAATCACAGGCGTCGATTTGGGATTCGCGATACGGGGTCTAGGCTTTAGTGCGTGCTGACGGACCACGGCATTAGGCTTCACTCGGGCTAGCGGCCTCCTCCGAGGATTTCGGCGACTTCTTCTGCTGCGGCTGGCCCGGCTGGCTTGTGTCCTGGCCAGCGACGAAGTTTGAAGGTCTGGGGTTGTTGGGGTTTCGGGCTTGGCCTTCCCTGGCACGGGCGGCGCTTCCGGCTCGTCCTGACAGGATGCAGTCTAGCTATAATTTCAAGGCGACGAGAGGCTTGGAAAACAATGGCCTCTGCAGCTTCCAGATCAGATTGCAAGCTTCGGCGAACATCCTGGATCAAAGGGGGGATGTAGAGTTTAGGGGCTAGGCTACACCAACAGATGCGGGGGGAGGGGGGGTCCTTGGTCTTGATCTTCTTGGGTTCGGCAGCAGCAGACTTCGGGTTCTTCGACCACAGAGCAACATCCGTGGATGCATTGGAATCCTGCACAATGGGAAATCAGATCCCGACTCCTGTGCTCCCTACACTAGAGGAAGGGGTCCTGTGACTTGGCTCGCTTCCTTCTCAGGACCGGCTGCTCTTCCGGGGTACCTGCTGCATGCGTGTCTGTGTGTGCTAACTGATCACGACGACAGAGGCACTGCGGTGGCCTGTGCCAGTGGTGCAGCTGCCGATGCTGCTCCTTGGCCGTTATAGGTGGGCTTTTTTTTTTTCCTGGGGCTTCGGGCGGGCCTGGAGCTTTCTTTTCGGAGTGCATGTCGGGCTTGGCGCCCGTCGGCGAGGAGCTGCTCCAAACACAAGGCATCCATGGCTGCCGTCGTCGGCAAGTAAAGCTGCTAGCTAGAGAACACCCTCGCCAGCAAAATGCTGGCTGTTGCTGGAGCACAAAACCACAACCGAAAGCACGTGTGCGAGTGCCCAGGCGTGCCACTTGTGCACCCGGCCGGCGACCTTCTCACGGTTTCTCACGGTTTGCTCACGGTTTCCATTAAGAGCTTTGCTAGACTTAGGCCAGGCCAAGGATGGGCCTTCTCACGACTTCTCACGCTTATCTCACGCTACTTTGGGGTCCTAGTGTTTGCCCGGAATGGCTGGCCCAAGCAACCGGAAAAACGGCGATCAGCTGCAGCAGCCCGGCGTCAGGTCCAAGTGTCCTGCCAGAGCTTGCCGTCACACACCGTAACCCGACCGTACCCTGCCCCTACCCCACCTAAACCCTACCGTAAATAAACCCTATCCCCTACCCCTACCTATACCCTCCCCCTCCCTCTATGCCTTGACAGCAAGCAGCATACGGGCGACTTTTTTGGTCGGCGGCTCATGATCACTTGCGTTCCACGAACCAGTGGATTTGGTTTGCATTGTACAAACGGTGAAGCACTCGAAGGTACCACTTGTGGAAGTCTTCTCTTCTTTGCTCAGGTGTTTGGCTGTCGTCGTCCTTCTTCTTGTCACCATCTTTCTTTCTTCTGTCCTCCCTGTTGACGGCCCTGATCGCCCGAAACAGTGCCCGAGTTGCCTTCAAGGCAGCAGCCAGCCTTTCTTTTCGCCTTCTTCTTCGGACCCTTCTGGTGAAGCCCACCATGATAGCTCGAGGCGAGGTGCTGGATCTCCGCCCAACACTAGCTAGCGACCTGCTGGATCTCCGTCCAACAGTAGCCAGGGCTTTGAGCACAGTGCTGCAGCAAAGCATGTATCACAGGGTTAACCGCTATTTATTATGTACACCACGAGAACAGTTGGGCTGAAGGTTTTGGGTCTGCTTCTTCAAGACAGGTTGGACGATGTCGTATATGTGTGGAGGGCTGGAACAAGTTCGGGCTAAGGGCCTCCAATACCCATCAGTCTAGGCTTTGGTGCGTGCTTTAGGCTTCCCTCGGGCTATCGGGCTCCTCCGAGGATTTCGGCGACTGCATCTGCTGCGGCCGGCTCGGCTGGCTTCTGACCTGGCGAGCGACGAAGGTTTCTCTTAAGAGGGGTTTAGGGTTTAGGATCTTCCAAAAGGGTGTCCTTCGAGGGGTTTCGGGATTAGTATCTTCCACAAGGGTGTCCTTTGAGGGGTTTCGGGATTAGTATCTTCCAGAAGGGTTTCTCTGAGGGTTTTAGGGTTTAGTTTGAGGCTTTCTAGTTTCGTTAAGTTTTGGAGTTGTAAACACCCCCCCCCCCAAAAGGGCTTCTTTGAGAGCAAGGCTTAAGGGCAGCAGGGTTCAGGCGATTTGCCAGCTTCCAGGTCTAGGGTTTCAAGGTTTCGGATGATATATAACCATGCATGGTCCTGCAGGATGCAAAAGGTAATCTATAATAGTGATTGCACCGGGTCAGCCAGCACAGCATGGGACACCTTTTTTTCCTTCGGCGGGCTAGGAGGTGCGTCCTTTCATAGCCCGGATTCCGCACCGGCCACCGGTGCAATGCGATTATTAAGGTCATATCGCTTTGCGATATGAAAAGACTTGCATGAGGCCTTTGACACGCCTCGCACAGAAAACGCCAGCCGGCTAGAAGCTTGCCAGCCCTCATCGCTGTGAATCCCACATCACTCTTCACCTTTTCCCGGCTGTCCTGTGGGACCTGCTCCCTCACCGCTGTGAATCCGGCATCACTCTTCACCTTCTCACGGCTGTCCTGCGGGACCTGCTCCATGAGGACCACGTGCACCCTGTGCGACTGGCACTAGAGGAGCTGGCACCTGCTGCGGAGGGGGCGGCGCCATCTGCTGCAGCAACTGGGTGATCGTCTGCACCGTTGCAAATTGCATGTTGTAGACCGGGCCTGAGTAACACATGCTGAATGAAAGAGTCCAGCAAAAATCTCACGTATTGATCTTTAAAATTAAACAAAAAATTATATATATAATTAAAGCCAAGATGCTGCACAACGAAGAAATGGTGTGCATCTCCAACATCACGGAATACCATATATCGCATTGCTCGCGAATCCAGATATGGCGTGAGCAGTTGGCCCTAGCCATCATTCCTTCCAGCAGCTTGCTCATCGTCTCTGGGTTTTGAAGTCCATGAACTTGTACTGTCAACGGCGAGAGCAGCTGGAGCGTCAGTTTGGACACCTTCTTTCCCGAGCCCAGAAAGTGCTCGTGGAACTCATTGTGCCACCAACTCTTCTCGTCGGGAGGAAGCATCCGAAACTCGTCGGCGTAGCTGCTCAACCAGCGTTGATCCACCAGCCCGAGCTGCCTCTGAGCCTCAGTCCAGGCTTCCATGCACCGAAAGTACGCTCCAGTGTTCATGGCTTTAAACCCAGATCCGGCAGCCTACACTTCAGCAGCAAATTTGAGCCGCGAAACTTCACGTAACAAAAAACTGTCAATCAATGCATCATGGCTGCCATCATCTCCCTCATCAGCGACACCATCCGAACCCTACACCTTAATCATCATTAAGAGCAGGGTTTACAGGCTTAAGGGTTCAAGGTTTGGTGTGAAGGCCGTAGACCACCACCACCAGAAATGCTAAATCCTCCGAACCTCACACCTAAAGCCCCTGAACCCTTTGCTCCCAGGATGGGACCTGCTCCTTCATTTTCTGCTCTTGGGCCGCTTCGGCGTGTCGGCTGCCTGGCCGCAATAACGGTTTCAAGGCTTTAGGGTTGTGACTCCCAGAGTGTTAGCAAACTGGCATTTCATTGAATAATTTTTTTTACACTAATGTTACGGTTTTGCTATGATTTCAAGGATCCTTCCGGTTACGATTATGATACGATTTTGACATGGTTTACGATTTGGATACGGTTTGGATACGGTTTGGATGCGGTTCTGATACGATGTTCATACGATTTCGTGAAATCGTAACCAGAACCGTATCAATATCTTAAACGGGAAAACCCCCTAAATCATTTTATATATAATCATAAAAATAATTCCCGGCGCATACCCTTAGTTTGCTATGTGTGGTATAGGGTTCAAGGCTTGGTGTCAAGGCCTTACACAACCAACAACAGAAATGTTAAATGCTCTGTACCCCTAAGCCCTTCGGTCCTTATACCCGCCAAAAACAATGGAATTACACCCCTAAGCCCTTATACCCCATAAAAACAATCCAATGTCCCAGGATCGGGCCTCATCGTTCTGGCGCCCTCTCTTCGGCTTCTTCGGCGTCTCGCTTGCCTGGCCGCAAGCGAATTAAGGCAACATGGCTTATAGGGTTTAGGGGTTAGGGTTTAGGGTTGAGGGTTTAGGGGTTACGGTCTAGGGTTTTCAGGTTCAGGGTTTACAAGGGATTAGGATTGAGGGTTTAGGGTTTAGGGGTTCGGGTTTAGGGGTTCGGGTTTAGGGGTTAGGGTTTAAGGGTCAGGGTTTAGGGCCTAGGTTGAGCGAGGAAAAGCCTAAACCCTAAACCCGGCCTAAACCCTATATCAAGAGGCTCAAGCTGATCATGCTTGGCTGCGAAGTCGCCAGTCGTTTTCCACCAGTAGAATCGGTGTTCCCACTGCTGTTTGCTCATGACCTCGATAGGGTCCGGAGTCGTGGGATCTGAGGCGTGTCGAATGGAACGGGGTCGAGCCGTGTTGAAGGCTTGGTATAGCTCGAGCTTGAATTGGAGCTCGCAGAGCTTTTCGACCAGGTCCCCGACTGAGTCGATGCGGGAAGCGTTCTTTTCCTCGGATCTCTCCAGGTTCGTCCAATCTCTCCGGGTCGCCGCACTGGATGCCCGAAAATCGCCGCCCAGCTGGGTGCTGGCCAGCCTTCCAAACCCCTAATCCGGCAAAGCCCTAAGCGCCTAAGGCCTCAAACCCTCAGGCCCCCAAATCCTTCTTCCCGAAACCTTGACACTCAAGCCTTTAAAC